CACTAAGTCAATCCATTCTTGAAGCAGAGAGTCTCTTTTATTGAACAAAACTTCCCTGAGCATGCCAGGGTTAGAGCGCAGAGGTGACTCTGATAGATCTTTGTCTTTGAGGAATTGTTTGTAAGACCCCAGGGGAAGACAGACTTATACACATACAAGTGCAATTCGGAGGTCTAGACCCTAGACTGGAAGTACTGAGCATGGAGCTGGGGGCAAGGGGAACCAAGGAGGAGCCATCAGTTCAACTAATAGCATCTGAGTCTGAAAGATGAGGAGATAGAAGTTGAATGGGGGGGAGGGGTAGTGGGGGGGGGTAGATGGAATTCTCAGCAGAAGGAATAGCTTTTGAAAAGGCCCAGAGTTGGAAGATGGCACTGCGTGCTCCAAAAATGTGTCAAGTGCCCTGTGTGAGATGTGTCTGGGGATGTAGGCAGGGGTCCTCAGAAAAGGCCTGAATTTCAGGCTAAGAAGCAGGGCCTTTGGCCCATATGCAATGGGAGAGGCACCGCACAGTGGAGCCAAGGTGAGGGAAGGAGAAGATCAGATGTACATTTGGAAAGATCTTTCATACTTTTACTGGGGAGGCTGGGAAGACACTGAGGCAGAGCAGTTTAAAGACTGTTGTTGCCCAACTGGTATAGCTTAGTTGTTGAGAGTCAGCCTATGAATCAAGAGGTTGCTGTTTCGATTCCAGCCAGGGAATATGCCCAGGTTGTGGGCTCAATCCCCAGTAGGGGGTATGCCGGAGACAGCCAATCAATGTTTCTCTCTCTATCCTTCTCCCTTCCTCTTTCTTGAAAATCAATAAAAACATATTTAAAAATTTAAAATGGCTGTTGTTATAGGCTAGATGTTGTTAATGGCTGATGTTGTTAAAAACATCCATCCAATTCTTTTATCTTATTGATGCACAATCTGAGGCCCAAAAGTTAAATTGACTTGCTCAAGGTCACCCAGCAAGATTAATGGCAAAGTCAAGGCTTCACCTGCCTCCCAGCACAGGCATTCTCTACTGCCCCAGGATCCTCAGGAAGAGAGGCAGCCCACTGAGATTTCCCTGTTGTCCTTTGCCTCTGAAACTGTCTTGTGCTCTGCCCCTACTGCAGACCAGCCTGCTAGGGCCGTGACAGGGAAATGTTCCCAGAGGACAAGGCAGGGAGCACTGCCCAGCTGCTTCTGAAGCTGGGCTGCTGCTGCCTCTACACCAATCAGGGAGCTTTCCAGCCACAGGAGGAAGCCAGGAGCCAGGGGGTGGGGCAGCGGTGGTTTATGACTGCACAGAAACAGCAGGACACTAATGTCTCTGACTAGCCTGCTTGTCTGCCTACTTAGCCAGAGATGATGCTTCTAAAGGTCATGTCCTCCAACAATGGAGATGGGGTGGACGGTTAGTCATACAGAGTGCCTGCCAGTGCCCTTGTGTCAGGTCGGCCACCAGAGGGCAGAGCCCTTCCTTTCCTGAGCACATGCCAAGGGGTAGATCCTCATAGCCTGGGTAGGAAAGGGTGTCCTGGCTAAGGGGAGTCCAGAAGATCTGCCTGGTTTTGAATTCAGTCTCCATCAGTCACTTGTGACTGGTCACACAGCAACTGTGTCTCAACTTTCTTGCCTAAAAAACAGAGGATTCTGCCATAGCCAGTTGCTCAGTGGTTAGAGCGTCGGCCCTCAGACTGAAGGGTCTTGGGTTTGATTCTGGTCAAGGGTCAAGGGCACATAACTCATTAGTAACTCATAATTTGGTTGCAGGCTTGATGGGGGGCGGGGCTTGGGTCAGGGTGCATGTGGGAGGCAACCAATCGATGTGTCTCTCCCTCTCCCTTCCACTCTCTCTAAAAATCATGGGGGGAAAAATATCCTCTGGTGAGGACTAACAACAACAACAACAACAACAACAACAAAAAACCCCACAACAACAACAACAAGGATGATTCTGAGCCTCTCAATCCTTGGAATTCGACCATCTCCCAGGTCCTTAGGTAGAGATCCCTTGTTTCCACAGCTAAAGAACACCAATAGTTTTCTCTTTCAGAAGAGAAACATGCTGAATCTAGAATTATGATTCGTCACAGCTGGGTGGAGCACTTAGTTCTCATTTAGTTTAATTTCTCACTTCAGAGGAGGGTAAATTGAGACCCAGAGAGGGGGGACAGGCCTTGCACATTGAGTTGGAGGCCAGACAGAAGCCAGATGCTAGTTCTCCAAATCCCTGCTTCAGGTTTCTTTCCGCAGTACCAGGCCATGTAGGAGGAAACCAGAATACTGTATTAAGCCATTAAGCCATTATATCATTAATATTAGTATAATGTCACCATGCCTCTGAAGCAGTCCTCTAAAAAGCCAAGGGCTTCTGGGCTGCTGCAGCTTTAAGCCTAGAGTCTTTAAAAAAAATCAAAATCAAAAGGGAAATGAGGGCAGGGCCAGATCTCCCCTGCACCATTGGAGGGGAGTCTTGATGTGATTGCAGATGTCATTACTGTGTGGCTTTGGAACATCCTTTCTTTGCATCTGCTTGACTTTTCCCAAACAGATTCGGCTTCAATTTTTCTTTCTTTCTTTCTTTCTTTCTTTCTTTCTTTCTTTCTTTCTTTCTTTCTTTTTTTTTTTTAGGCACATTGGACTAGTAGGGGAAGGAACTGAGGTGGAGAGGTAGGGGAAGCAGCCTGAAGTGTGTCAGGAAGTTCCCAAGAATTAGCATTGACACATTTAATCCACACATAGACAACCAGGGTTGTCTGAAAGGGAACCTGTGGTGCCCAGGCCAGAATAGTTCAGGTCTGGCCTGCAGGCAGGAAGAGGAATGACTTGGCGAACAGTTTTATAAGAGACAGAAGGAAGTGGGAGGGTTCATTCACCAGCAGGATTGCATTTTGCTGGGTGGTGTATTAAGGGAAGAGGGGCTGAATTCTGTGTTGGAGGAGGGGGAGAAGAGAGCATTCTAGATTTTCTCCTCACTCAGTCACATTCATTCCTTTCTTTAATATGTCCTATATATTTACTGTGCACCAGGCACTATGCTAAGAACCAAGGAGGTAATGATGAAGAAGACAAAACACAAATCTCATTTTCTGCCCTTTTTAAAATCTCTCACAGGTTTTCTGTGTTTCAGAATAAAGATTTCACTCCCTTGCCTGCCATTCAGGGCTCCCCATGTTTTGGCTCCCGACTCCATCCCTAGCCCAACTATCCATCACTTTAGGCAACAAAAACTGGATTCTTTGTCTATCAATATATGTGTAAGGGAGGAACCTGCCTCAGTTTTTTTGCCTGTGCCCTCTGCGTGCTTTAAAATCCTATGTGTCCTTTAAGAGCTGAGTTGGAAATGTTACCAACCTCCCTGGAGAAGCTTTTCAGAATCTATTCCTATCCAGCCCAAAATAATTTTTTTTTTGGGGGGGGAATAATAATAATAATAATAATAATAATAATTTAGGCCCTGGCTGGTGTGGCTAAGTTGGTTGAGCATCTTCCCATGCACCAAAGGATCACCAGTTCAATTCCCGGTCAGGGTATACGCCCTGGTTTAGGATTTGATCCTGTGCAGGAGGCAATCAATCACTGTTTCTCTGTTGCAAGGATGTTTCTCCCACTCTCCCTTCCGCTCTTTCTGAAATCAATTTAAACATACACACACCACATTCCAAATTCCTGAGGGCAGGGTTCCATGCCCTCTCACCCTAGCATCTAGCATAGAGCCTGGAATATTCCCTCAGAGACACTCCTTCATTCTAGGTTCTCATACACACTTAACATCCCTTACTTTATATTTTTACTCCTTATCACTTTCTAACATACTCTACATACAGGGGTGGTCAAAGGTAGGTTTACAGTTTGAGTACATGAGTTTATTCTTGTATTATTATTATTTTATTATTTATCTGTACAACTGTAGATATATTTTTGCCCACCCGTACTTATATCCTGCCTATTTTCTTGGGTAGGGTGTTGTTATTGTTGTTGTTTTTGTTGTTCACTGCTGTACCCCATTGCTTAGGACAGTGCTGGAACACAGTAAGTGCTCAATATCTGCTGAATAAATGAAGTAAATAAAATGTGCAGTCAAAACTACGGGCTGTATGAGCTACATGGAATGTCAAAAAGGGAAGCACATGAGCAAGAATGTGTCAGCTTGACCTCAGTGTGTATGCCCTAGGGTGGAGAGGATTGGTTAACTCCAGACACAACCCAGTGATAAGCAGACAGGAGGCTCTTACTAACAGAATCTGTAACACTCCATCCTGGAGAGGAAGGAGGGCTTCCCAGGGGTCAGCCGGCAGACAGCTGCATCCTTTCTATAAATTAACCAGTATGCCTGGCCAATATTTATCCTTTCATGTTTTCACCTTATCAGATCCAAAAACCTCAAGGTGAGGTGGGGAACTGGAATCTTGTGAGGGAGGGTAACAGTTTAGCTCCTTAATTCACCTACACCAGGAGAGGGCATTACCTTGACAGTTTGGATCTACAGTAGACGACCCCCTCACCGATGAACCACCTTGGCCAGCTACTTGACCTCGGAGATCAGGCCCAGGGCTGAGGCCCTGGCCCTTCACCTTTGTAATTTCCTGGAGAATATGGGGCGGGGCCGTGAATCAGCACTAGCTCGGGCTGAAGCAGCCTTCGTCCCCACCAGGGGTCCCCAGCGGCCGCGGAATTACAGCCCATCCTCTCCCTGCGGTTGCGCGCTATGACCACTGGGAGATGTAGTGTTGACCGCCCCTTTGTCCTTGATCTCTCCAAAGTATCACCTCGACGGTGGATGAACTACAACTCCCAGGGGCCCCCAGGCGCCGGGGGCCTGGTAGGGCGGGGGCCTGAGGGGGGAAGCGGGGAGGCATCTGGAGAAGCTGGGGCGCTGGAACCGGGGTGCAGTGAAGAACCGCGGGTGTTGAGAGGCAGAGAGGAAGGAAGGGACACCCTAAAGGCGGCGGCGAGCTGATTTGGGGAGGGGAAGCCCGAGAAGCGGAAGAGCTGGGGCGGAGCCTGGCGGGGTGCGTGAGTGGGCGGGCCCTGTGCGTCACGCGGCGTGGGCGGGACCGCAGGGGGTTGTCCGTCCGCAGCACGCACTGCAGTCGCAGCCGCTTCACGCCCGTTCCCGCGGTTGCAACTCGAGCTGCAGCCTTCGCGCCGCCTTCGTTCCCTCAGCCACCCGCTGCGTGGTCGGCCCCTCCGGCACACGGCTCCAGCCGCCGCGCAGCTGCCTTCTGAGCCCTCAGGCCTCCCCGGTTTTCTCGCCCGGCCCGACCCAGCCCGCGAAGATGGTGGATCGCGAGCAACTGGTGCAGAAAGCCCGGCTGGCCGAGCAGGCGGAGCGCTACGACGACATGGCCGCGGCCATGAAGAACGTGAGTTCCTCCTCCCCTCCCCCGCATCGCCCCAACCCCTTCGCAGACGCGTGGACGACCCGTGGATTAGTCGCCTGTGGCGACTGCAGGGCCTTCTCGCTCGCTGAGCGGACAGGGGAGGGTCCCGATAGCGAATGGGGACCCGGATTGTGACGCGGCCTCTCCCGGAGTGTCCCCCAGGCCCGATGGCGCGGCCTTCTAGACCCTCCCCGGGCTAGGGCGGGGTTTGCGGGGCTGATCTCTGAAGTGGGGTCTCTGCCCCCCGCGTCTCCAGGGCTGCTGGGGGCCCGAGCGGGGGTCTTGCGCATCCTTTGTGCCCCACTTCCCCTCCTCCCAGCCTTGGCGTGGGGGCGGGGGACCGCATGGATGCGGTTCCTCTTTCTCTCCCTGGTGTCTGGGCGGCGCCTCTCGCGTTCACTCGGCTCGGCTCCGGGTTTCTTAACATCTTCCCCTCTTCTTCCCCCTCCTCCTCCCCGTCTTCCCCGCCGCCCCTCCCGACAGATCCCGTAGAACCTCCCTAAGGAAAATGTAGGCTTCCCCGAAAACCCGGGCTCAGTGGTGCAGAATCGAAACCTTTCCCACGTTTTTCTTAACAAAAGCATCCTTCTCCATTTCCCCAAGCAAAGTCCTCGTGCTGTTAGGAAGGGGGGAACGATTGTTCTCGACATGTCATCTCCATTTTTTCCTAATGTTTTGTATTGAAAACGGTAGGTATTGTCTTTAAAATAAAGGTTGTGAATTTATCTGACTGGTTCAATTTGTGACTTATGCTGTTTGTTTTTTTTAAATACAGGCACACATCTGTTGAAATTCCTATTAAGTTGAAAAAAAAATTCTCTCTAACCTGTTATTGCAAACAAAGCGGTGGTGGGAGGCAGTATCAAGTCATTCCAGAAGATTCTGCATTTGTCATATTGCAGAGAGCCTAGACTGGGTGGAGGCTGGGAGGAGTTATTTTAAATGGGAAAAAGTGTTTTTAAAATTTTTTTTGTTTTGTTAGATACATTTAAGGCTTAAACAGAGAACACACAAGCTAGCACATCTTCATGCTAATGAAAAGGGAATGCTGATCTCCAGTTGTCTGCAGATTCCTGCCTGTATTGCACCATTTTGTCAGTAACACTCTTATCTAATGGGCTGTCAACGAATTTGATATTAGAGGAGGGGGAAGGTATTGAGCATTATTAAATGAAACGTGGAAAATTAATCCAATTAACGATTTAGGTCTCCCACTATCTTAATATTTAACTTCCTACCTTATGTAACAAAGATTTTAAAAATGCATCTTTCGTGTGAAGTGGATTTAGATGTGTGGCTTGCATGTTAAAATCTTTTTAACGAAGCAGTATAGGTATTACAGATTACTGAATAACTACGAATTCACAAAAGATAAGCTGATGCCTTTATATTTAAGTCAGCTACATGAACAAAATTTTATTTCTTTAAGCAAGACAATTGGTTCTGAAAGTGGGAGGACCAATGAATTTATTGCCACAGTTGCTATCCTAAAACATTTTAAAGCTCAAATGACAAAAGTTGCATTTTTAATAGTTATAAATATTGGAAATATATTAAGTTCATGTTATTTAGACTCTTCTAATTTTTCCGTACTTCTAGTTTCACAGAAAAGCGAGTGACCTCCCACCTATATCCAAAGCAACCCAGTGATGTCACACAATGACACAGAGGCTGCAATGCACCTAAGGGCTGGTAGGGAGTATGCAAATGGCATTTGTCCAAGGTAATGCAGAAATTAGCAGATAAGCCAGGTGGAATTGAACACTTCATCTTCCTGCAGATGAGGATTAGTACAAAAAATAATTTTATTTACCCTTACACATGCAGGTCAGTGACCTCTAGATAGGCCTATTCATTTTCCTATTTCTAGTTTTCTCATAGTGTATAAGACATTTGTATTTTTAAACATTCACCTCACCATTAAAATGGGACAGTGATGGAATAAAGATAGAAATTTTAAACTATATTTTATGATCATAGTGCAGGAATGGGCTGTATACTTGGGTTTATTGCCTGTTATTAACTTGGCAGGTTTAAAAACCTTAACAAAATATGACTTCCTACTCGGTCATTTTCAGTAAATGTTAGGGAATATTACGTTACAAAACACTCGGTTGGGATTGGAAAAGTTTTCTTTTGCAATATTTATGCTTCTGCTCCTTGATGGAGTTGGAGGAAAAAACACTGTCAAATAAAGCAGACCTCTTTTCAAACCTGTTTACTGTGACTTTGATGAAGTAGGTTTACCTTGAACCTCATTTTCCTCATCTGAAAAATGGGTCAATACCTACTTGAAAAAGTTGTAAGGATTAAATAAAGGCAGTAGGTGCTCAATGGAAACTATTTATAAAACTTTGTGGTTTTGGGTGTTGTTGTTTTTTTTTTAATAAAAGTCATCTCATGGAGAATTTGGAAAGTACTGGAAGATAAAAAGAAAATACTCAGTCCTACATGTTAGAGGGATTTATTTGCATTTAATGAAATTATTCTAGTAATAGCACTGTTGGGATCTGTGCAGAGTGGTAGTTGTATGTGGATAACCAGGCTAGAAATAATATGCAGTATTTTGGAAAGGAGGAAAAAGAGAAATTTAGTCTTCTAAGACAAATGTGCAGTCTTGCATTTAAGAAGACAATGAACACCTAAATGTTTCCTACTGATAAGACAATTCTGTCTTGTCCTTTGGATTTTAATGGCCTGGGAAGTTAATGTTCTAAGTAGGCTACTAGTATTTGCCTGGGGTGGGTGTAGAGAAAAAGGTTCTGGACTACTAATTTTAAGTCACTGGGTTAAGCAGTTTAACTCCTGTGTGTGGGTGGGACATTGGTGACAAGAGGCTACCTTAGTTATATTTTTAAGTCTTCCTAGTAGAATTGATAGACTTTAAAATTCTTGCTATCTGAAATACTGTTTTTCCTATTAGCTCTTCCAGGAGGCTAGATCAATAGCCATTATCTCTAATGGAGTAATGACACCTCTGTGGACTCTTCAGAGGTGGAGTTCTGCCAGCCATTATTCTAAGTCATGTGGTTTCAATTGTTCTCTTCTTGGGAGTGGAAAGAATACAGATAACAGTTTGCTTTTTATGTGTTATCCTTCCCAATAACTGAAATGAATGTTAACTGCTTTTTGTAATTATTTAAAAATTATATTGAGATAATGATGTTGCTAAATGTACATCTTCATTAATCTTTTGGATTAACTGCTGACCCTGGGGAGGATTTTATCCCTTAATACTTATTTATTTATTACACCAAACTCTAAATTATTTTTTTTAAAAAGTGGAGAAAATGACCTTGCTTTTTTTTTTTTTTAAATCTTTATTGTTTAAAGTATTACAAATGTCTCCTTTTTCCCCCATCGACCTTGCTTTTATTGAGGTAAAAGTCACATAACAAACTAATCATTTTCTTTTCAAATTTTCTTATTCATTGCTTTTTTAGAGAGAGGGGAAACCAGGGGTGAGTGGGGGGCTCTGACTAACTGAACTGTCTTGCCAGGGCACAAATTAACCATTTTCAAGTGTACAATTCAGTAGCATTTAGTATATTCACAATGTTGTATAACCATCATCTCTAGTTGAAAAAAATGTTATCTTTAAAAGTGATGATGGTCTGGCTGTCGCTGGCTGCATTTCGAAACATGACTGGTTCAGGAATGTGTCAGTAATGAAGTACGACAGCAAAGCCGGTGGTAATCAGTATCCCTTTGTCTTTGTTTTCTAACTTCTGAACCTTTTCAGCATAAATTTAAAAAAAGTTACAGAGCTCAAAAACTTACCCAAATAAATAAGAAAATTTTACCTGAAATCAGAGTAAACTATTAACTTTGGAGATCATAGAAATTTTGCTGGTGGTGTTATCTCATTTTCCACCCCAAGGCTGACTTTGTTATAGATGATTTCCCTGTTGTGTGGTAGCAGCCCCCTAATGAACCTATGCATTACTGAGGGTGGTGAGCTATTCAAACGTGGGATTCTTACCTGATGGGATTCCCATAAATAAGATGTTAAATGCAGTGGCTAGATGATTCTAAACCTGCCAGAAGCTTCTTCTCATCTCCATGTCACTAGCCCTAACCCTTTTATTTGGCAGGGCATTTTTCTGTATTTCTACCACATTTGAAGGGATGTGAAAGAAAAGCAAAGACTACTTTATACGTTTAATAGTCAAGGGTGGGTGGGAATTACCACTATATAAACCACTATCTTTTGTCTTGTTTTTTAAACTCTTTTTTATTTAAATGTTACGAATTTATGAATTTGAGTAGTTAAGTAAAGTTACATGAAAAGTAATCAACAAAAATTCCCAAAAGAAAACTTTAATTTTTAAGATAAATGGTTAAATAATTGGTCTGGTCCCATGATTTTGCAGAAACAATAAAAATTGTAAATCTTAAAGAGTTTGCATGAGTTTTTCTTCCTTCCTTTTGAAAGAACTGCCCAGCAGGTGTGGCTCAGTTGGTTGAACATCATCCCATGCACCAAGAGGTTGCCAGTTCTATTCCAGTCAGGGCACACGCCCGGGTTTTGGGCTTGATCTCCGGTAGGGGGCATATATTAGGCAGCTGATCCATGTTTCTATCTCTTTCTCCCCCTCCCTCTCTCTAAAATCAATAAATATATCTTTTTTCAAAAAATAAATGAACTGCTTAAGTCTAAACTAAATTTTCATCAGCATTTCACTTGTAAGGATGTGTCCCAAAGCAGTAGATTTTTCTTTACCTTGAGTTGAATACTCTTAATGTGCCACAAAGCTTTAGTTGGGTTGTGAACAGGTAAATAGAAATGAGTGTTCTTACATAGATTTTATTTTTTAATAAATCTTTATTGAAAGTATTACATATGTCCCTTTTTTTCCCATTGCCCTCTCCTATCCCCTTCCCCCCAAGCCTTCACCACCCTATTATCTGTGTCTATGGGTTATGCATATACTCATATGAATTCATTGGTTGGTTCCCCCCCCACCCTCCCCCATTACATAGATATTAAAATTTTTTTATTTTTCAATCACAGCTTACATTTAATATTTTATATTAGTTTTAGGTACACAGCATAGTGGTTAGATAGTCATATACTTGACAGTGTTCCCCCAACATTTCTAGTACCCACCTGGCACCATATATAGTTATTACAATATTGACTATATTTTCTATGCTGTATTTTACATCATGACATACATTGATTTTTAACATGACATTTAAAACATTTCCAAATAAACTCCGGTCTTATTTTCTTTGGAATTGCATCATATTTTTTGGAGAGATCCAAAGCCAGACTTAGTGAGTAGAGCCTAGGTGTAGTGTCCTTAATAATTCTGTTACTATAACAGGATGTCAGAGCTGGGAATATGACAGTGACAGCAATGGGCAGCTGAATATGTAATGACAGTAGTAGCTCAAGAGGAATCCCTTATCTACCCTCCCCCACAGCTGAGTGAAGAGCAGCTGCAGTGGTATAGAGAAGTGAGAGAAGGCTAAGAGGTAAGGAGAGGAAGGCTTTTATGCCCCCATTGCCCTCTCCACCAGGTTTGCTTTGGAAGATCATTGAAATTTCTTTAGCTTTCTGAAAGGAATTATGGCATCATATTTAAATAGCCTCCATCTAGGAAACAGTTGCCTATGGTGCCAGTGCTTTAAAGATGCAGAGATAAGCTTACATTTTTTTAAAAAACTGAATTGTTTCACTTCAGTACCATTCATTTCAGTATAATGCTCCTTCTGTAGCAGTTTAACATGAAATAGTGAATGAGTATGTCTTTGTAGTGGAGGTCCAGCATGAATAGTAGCTAGGCAAACAATCCCATACTCTCTGCAGTACACTTGTACATTAGGCCTGCCCAGTATGGGTACACTGTGGGGATGGTTGTTATTTACAAATCATACTTCAGTTTTCACATATGAACTACATCTGGTCTTTTCTAACTACATTTGTATAGTAGAAATAAAAACTCTCAGGTTTAGACACTAGAATTTTTTTCTTCTAGGCTGAAAATGACAATCCAGAAGGGCAAGGAGAACTAACAGGATAGGAGAGGAACAATAGTAAAGAGCATTCTGAGGCAAGCAAAGCAAGTGAGCAGGGAAGGACTATTCTAGAATATCTTAAATTTTGGGATGCTGTGATTTTTCTAAGAGCCTGGTTTTTGGAAGGCTGTCATCAATGGGACTGACTACTGACGATTAAAATGTCTGGCATTTTAAGGGTGCTAGAATTTTGGGGGGGGGGGGGAAAGACAAGTATTGTCACCATAATTCCCCATGGACAGATACTGCCATCATGTCTTTTTCTACAGGTTTAGGCTTGCTTTTGTACATTGTCTTTTTCCCTTAAGATTTCAAGGATATTTTCTTCTGTCATTAGTATTTTCATTGGCTGAATAATTCTATAGGTGTGTCATAATTTAATTATTTTTTTCGTTTAGCATTTGGACTGTCCAAATTTATAAATAAAACTTCCATGGCCTTCAGTCCCCAAGCCGACACTCTATCCACTGAGCCAAACTAGCTAGGGTTATTTTGTTTTTTAGATTCCAGATATAAGTGGAATGAAGGGTCCTGGGTTCGATTCCAGACAAGAACACCTATCTTGGTTACAGGCTTCTGGCCCTGGTTGGGGGCATGCGTGAGGCAACCAATCTATGTGTCTCTCTTACATCGGTGTTTCTCTCTGTCTCTCCCTCTCCCTTCCACTGTCTCTAAAAATCAATGGAAAAAATACCCTCAGGTGAGGATTTAAAAAAATAAAAATATGTACTAAAAAAAAAAACTTCCATGAATATCTTTGTGACTAAAGCTCCCAAACAGTTTAGGTATTAGGACAGAGACCCAAAAGAATTGCTGAAAGAATAGCTAAGGATTTTTAAGGATCTTGAAACCATCACTAGTACTAGGTATGATCTCTTAAAAGTTTTGAAAAAATGTAATTGTTGGAGTAGGTATTATACACACATGGTTCAAAATTCAAGGATGCCCTACCACTCTATCAATAGAAATAAAAGGTTCAAATGGGGGAAAGCTTGACTGCTAGCTTATTTGTGGCAAGTCTCCCTTTTTCTGCTTTCTGGTGATTAGAATGATTGCCTTAAAAAACTAATATGGAGCCCTGGGTAGTGTGGCTCAGTTGCTTGGAGCATCTAGTACAGTGGTTCTCAACCTTGGCTGCACATTAGAATCACCTGGGAATCTTTTTAGACTCCTCATCGAGGATGAGGCC